ACATCTCAACAGTGAGCATGCGCTGGACGATAGAAGTACAGCTCAATGTAGAGTACAAATGCAGGTTGTACAGCAGTTAGAGCTACAGGTAAAACCAAATTTATTTTTAATATTGCCTCAGTATTCCTCAAATTCCAAATTTCTGTAGTGTTCTGTAATGAGATCCCGTGTACTCATTATTGAATGGAAGGTCCAAAACTTGTTGTTGTCCTTTATTTTATCTTTCTTTATGTTTTGCCTCTTTGGGCAAGTTCCGCCTCCCTTCCCTCTTTGGAACTGCTGCTCAGACATTCCTGTGTCCTGGGCACCTGCCTGTGTGTCTGCAGTCCACTCTCAGTTCCTGCTTTCTGCCTCCCACCTCCCTCTCACTTTCCCTCCCTCCTCTCTTCTACTTTCAATTTTCTGGCTATCTGTTGTTGGTCTAAGTCCCTGGAAGTTGCTAATATGATTAAATCAGAGCTAGAAAGATAAGCTGGGTGGGGCAGGGGAGAGTGATGGAGAGAGAATGGGTGTGAATGATGAGAGAAAGAGTGAGTGAGACCAAGACTGGGTAAGAGAGCCAGACGAACGCTGTGTCTTCCAAAGTTTCGATGGAATTCTAAGTGGGTCCATTCCTCATTTTGCTTTGTTCCCTTTTCTCCCGACCACTGAGGATAATGGAGAGTCCACTGGGTACATTTTAAATACATGTTCAGATAGATACATATATATGTATATAAAATCTGGTATTTGGAAATCCACCGGGCTATGTTGCATGTAATTCATGACTAGGGAAAAGAAATTTGTGCATCTTTTCCTGGGGATCCTAGTTGTGAGAGACAGGGACATTTTTAAGATGGGTTCTACTTCCAGGTGTAACTTGATACACCATCATATTTTAACAGTAATTCCATTCTTGATATAATTAATAGAAAATTAGTTTCTAAAAGTAAAAATTAGGTCAGAAACGGAGATTATTCAAATGCACAAATGCAGAAGCCTGACCCTGCAAACCCCATTTATGCAGCTGAGTTCCAAAATGCTTTTGAGTGCTTGATGACTCACTGTGGCTTCTTCTCTGTCTGGTTTAGTGTAGGCAAGAGGTTAGCCGACTAGGGGAAATTAAAACAATGTTGTACATTATATTGTTACTAGCCATGGACAAGCCTATTTTGTATGCAAGACAGCAATGCTGAGATATATGGAGAGCCCTAGGCTAAGTACAGAAGATAATTACATTTGGAATTTTACTGAGTTAAGTCATTTACAGCTTCAAATAGTTGCAGAGAAAAATCAGCCAAAACACACTTAAACTTTTTGTTGTGACTTTTCAAGATAGAAAGGATTTTTAAAAATTAGTTATCCTATATGACAAATTACATTTTTTAGTAAGATTTTTCTCAAAAGTTATTTTCTTTCGTTAATATTTTCCCATTCATACTGTGGGTATAAACTTATTAGGATAGTAAGATAGTTGTACAGAAAAAAAGGCACATCATAAAATCTCCCAAATTTTATTTAAGTCTTTGGAAACATTTTTAAATTTAGCATGTCTATTGAAAAGAAAAGAAGTAGTAGATTTAATTCAGTGTTCACTTATGATTAAAGCACAGTAATGCCTTGAAAATCTGGATTCAGCAGAATAAACTATATACATGTCTCTTACTTCCTGAATTTGTGCATATTGATAATGGTTACTTATAAAGTGATGTAAGTTCTAGAATTTATTTCATAAAACTAAATTCTTAATGATGGGCTAAAATAAATTGCTTACGAGAGTTGTCATGACATATCCAGATAGGCATTCTAGATTGCAGATTTGAGTATTGGGCCATTGTTAATTGCTCAGGAACTGAGTTTTTTTTTTTTTTTTTTTTTTTTTGTTTTAGCTATTCAAGAATAGTTGGGGGTAGGGAGACTCTTTTTGTTATTGTTGAGACAGTCTCGCCCGGTTGCCCATGCTATAGTGCAGTGGCATTGTCCTAGCTCACAGCAGCCTCAGACATCAGGGCTCAAGCCATCCTCCTGCCTCAGCCTCCTAAGTAGCTGTGACTACAGGGGTGCATCACCATGCCTGGCTAATTTTTCTGAGTTTTGTAGAGATAGGGATCTCTTTCTTGCTCAAGCTGATATCTTGACCTCCTGAGGTCAAATGATCCTCCAACCTTGGCCTACAAGAATGCTGAGATTACAGATATGAGCCACCATGCCCAGCCTCTCCATTTTTAAAATTATTTTTCACTCTCCATGAAGACAGTTCAGGAGAAAGAGAATTATGTCACTTGTAAGTCACAAGGCTATCTCCTGGCAGCTTCAGTATTGGTTTTTGGTAGGTGTGGTCTAGAAGTGATACAGACTGGTAGAAGGATTCTTTGGTTATTTGTAGATTTTATTTATTCATAGATTTCCTTTCATCCTTCAACCATAAATCAAACTGAAGGCAGGATATTCAACTGGCGGTAGAAATCAAAGATGAACTGGCCAGAAGTTACAGTGCAGTAGTTACCTGTGGTGTTTCTAAATATTTTTTCTGGGGAATCTGCTTTAATGGAAGACGGGAGAGGCTAATTCTGATATGTATGGTTTCTTCAAAGCTTAAGGGAATTCTCAAGAGTATTGACCTAGTCCTTGTCCAGAGCAGACCTTAGGCCAAATCTTAACCAAGGTAGGGAAGGGTTTGTACATTTTAAGTAGTTGGTGGAGGGGGGGGGAGATTATTTCACGAGTGGTGAAAATTCTGTGCAGTTCTAGTGTTAGTGCCCATACCTGAAGTTGTACATATTAGAACACAGCCATGCCTGTGTCCACTCATTTACTTACTGTCTAGGGCTGTTTTTGTAATACAGTAGCAGAGTCACGAAAGTACCACAGACTGTATGGCCTGCAACGCTAAAAATACTTATTGCCTTGCTCTTACAGAAGTTTGCCAAGTAACCCCTGGTCAAGAGGATCAGACAAAAATAATTTACATTATGTTATTAGCAACTTGTCCCCTTGGGTTCCTGACTACCTACAGTTCTCACTGGTTTTGCCCTTCATTCTTAGCTATGATGTATAACCCAATCTAGTCACCAAATTGGTCAGGTTTCCCTACCAGCAGCTTCATGTGACAAGTGCTTGCCAATCTTGGGGGTCAGGGAAGGCTGACTAGGGGATATTCTTCCATTCATCCGCCCACCCACCCACTTATTCTTTAGCAAACATTCCTAAGAACGTTTTCCATAGCAGGAACCTTTCTGGAGCCACCGCAAAGTACAACAGAGATTAAAACAGACAGGGTTGCCTTCCTCATTCTTACATTCTAGAAGGAAAAACAGACTACAGAATAATTTTTCAATGATACAGTCTACTAGATGACACTGGTGGATTCTTGAAAACACCAGAAATTTCCTCTGAAGAGGGTTTTAGTGCTTAAAAATGTCTAAACCAAAGCAGATTGTATATCCATTCGTTACTATTCAAGCAGGTGAGAAAAACAAGACTGTTAACAGTTTTCAGTATTTAGAGAAACCTTGCCCTGAGATAGAATGAAGAGAAGCCTTTATCAAGGGTTAGTTTAGGAGGTTGGGAGTTGCAGACCTAGCATGTGTGGGGTGTTTGGGACATAATACAGTGATACTCAAAGCTAGATTCCGAGAAAGTTCAGCCTTTCTTTTGGTGCTGTCACATTTGCCATTTCATGCAGAAATGTCTAGAAATGTATTTTTTCATGTAACTCCCAGTCATGTGCCCAAAGAACCCGAGCTGTGGGAGCAGCAAGGTCCCTGCAGCAACAGGGCTACTTGCACTTGTGCTCGGACCACCCATCTGTGTGCACGTCCTGTTGGCATCCTCCCCCATTCTGTCAGCCACAGGCGGTGTAACACCTCCCCTGGGGGGATGCCCTGTACTTGACTGACCCAGGAGCTACTACTTTTTCCCCTTAAGGCATTTCCCAGTACAGGACATACCTGAAGCTCCACACATCTCTCAGAGTCAATTATAAAATTATACCATTGACTATCTTGAATTTCATAGCCCCCCCCCCCGCCCCGAGTGATGTTCATACCTGATAGAGAGAGACCACATATTGCCCCTATTATAAAAACAAATCTAATGAGCTCAACTAGGTGATGGTAGTTCATTGTGTCTGACCTAGAAGGTCATCATAAAACGACCCCATAGGAGAATTCAAGGGCAAAGTCGGTTAGCTCCTGAAGCACCCACAGCTGGTGAAGGTGCCTTGAGAGTGGTCCTGTGTAGCCCCTTTGAATCTCAACCCCAGAAACCTTTTATCTGACCCCAAATGGAAGGCCTTTGGTGGATCTCTGCTCTTATCAATCAGACCTTCCTAAAGAATGAGAAGCAATTAAAAAAAAAAGAAAGCAACCCTGCCAGCCTTAGGGGGTGGTGGCTAGAGATATTTCCCTTCTTAGAGCTGTCTGGACAACACTACACTGGAATGAAACTGAAAGCCCTTAGGACCCTCCTGTGAGATTTCAGGCAGGATGGGAATGGCAGGGATGCGTTATGGTGTCTGACACAGACCTTCCTCTTCGGCTCTAGGCCTAAGAACTGTTCTGTCCCTGTGTATTTAAAATACAACTTGATTTACAAAACCAGAGTTTTGATAGACATGTCAATTACAAAAGGCAAGATACCCCTGTATTTTAAAATTTGTTGGAAGATATATAAATATATCATAAACGGGTTCTTAGCAGTGGACTGCTGTGTGTAGCTTATTAACAGAGAATGGTTGGTTAATTTTGTTCTCTTGTTAGAACTTTTGATTGGTCTCCTTGAGAGGAAGGAAGAGTCTCAAAGATGTCTACGTGGGCATTCTGAGCCTTTCTGAATAATTTCTTCACGTTTTACCAATAGATCAGATGGGAATTAACCCAACTGTTAACCTGGGAGCCCAACGTTATAAACACCAAGAAACGTGTGAGCTCCTTACACTGTACACAGACAGCTAACAGCAAGACACACACCAGAGAAATCATTTGGGTCAGTGGCGTGGCTTTTTGAGGTCAGGGAATGTGTTAAGATTTTATCTGTTAGTTCTCTTTGGATAAATTCTTTTGCAATGATGTACAGACAAGGAGATGAGTTAGAATTGGAGGAGGAAGA